CCAGTGGTGGGTGTGGCCCCGGGGGGGGGGGCTGGGATGGGGCATTAAACCCCATTTTCGGGGCTTAACCCACGGGGTGCTGCGCATCTCGCTGCGCACCCGTCACTATTCTTTTATTTATTTTTTTATTCTTTTTTTTTTTTTTTTTTCTTTTTGGTGGTGGGGGGGGGGGGGGGGGGGGGGGGATCCAGAGCCAGGGTTGGGGGTGCCCGCCCCTGAATCCCCAGACCCCTGTCGGGGCCCCGGGGCCGGGGCTCGACAACCCTGGATATACATGGGTTTTGACTTCCAAGGGGCGTATTTCGGTTTGATTTAATGTTTTTATTTTTTATTTCCAAGTTTATAAGGAATTATGTAGTGACCCTCAACCAAAAGATGGTCGCATTGCAATTCTGGACAACATAATTTTTTTATTTTTGTTTTTGGAATTTTGGGCCCCCACCGGAAGTTGCCGCCAATGACTGATTATACCGCCTAGGCGTTATGAATGAATATGACGTCTGGCGAGTATACAAGCCCGAGGGCTATTTTTGAGTGAAGACGGTAGTAGAGCGAGGACCTTAAGGTCACTGCACGTAAGAAAAGGAAAAAAAAAGAATAAAAAAAACCAATGTAGTATTAGTAGTAAGTTAGTAACCCATAACTGCTGGAACACAAACCTGAATTCGAATCCAGAATATATATTGTTGGCCTGCTCGTGTCCCACCAGCATTTTGATGAATGATGTCGCACATTTTTCGGTCAGGCCACTTCTGGCGACCAAAAAGCCAACAGGCTGCCACGCAGGATTTTTGATGCTTTTTGCAATAAATAAATAATGCAAATCCCTTCCTGTTGTGTACGTCCGCCTTCTAGCGAGACCCTTCAATTATGGTCTACGCCAGTCCCAGGTCTTAGGAACCTTCAATCAAATTGGTTCAGAACAGCAAATGCAATCATGCAATAATAAGAACTAAATAATCAAATAGCATGCATCCTCATCATGATGCCATTAGGATAGAGAATTGTGACATGAGGAGATAAGAACTGAAAAGAGATCAAGAGGCAAGACAGTAGGCCAACTTGACAAGACAAGATCAGCAAGCTCATGTGAGAGAAGAGGAGAGCTCTTTATCACATCAAGGTCACAAAACGAATAGACAAAACATATTACCATTGTCTTCGTAGTCAGCTTTCTCTCTCCCCTAAGAAGATCAAGTCATACTCAGAGATCAGACAATGGTTAGTATGTTGCAGTGATCCATGAGCGATTCCACATGGTGCAGACATGTGCTTGTGAGGAGGTCTGTTGTGGTTTGTACCTGATGACTGTGCTCAAGTCTTGCACCTAATATCTGTCCTGCTCAAGAAAGTCTTGCCTTGAGTCAATCTTGATACTGCTTAATTGTTATCCGATCAGTCTTACAAAATGCTGATGATACTCTCTATGTTGTTGTCGCTGTCACCAGGAGAATCCGATATAACCAACACTTGTTGTCATCAGGATTGCCTGTTGTGACCAGCATAGTCGTTGTTACCACCGCGACTTCCCGCTGTGGTCAGCATCGTCTCTACTATCACCGGAACTGCCCGTTGTGAGCAGTGTCACCACTGCTACCACCGGGACCTTCTATTGTGGCCAGCATTGTTGCTGCTGTCACCAGAACTGCCTGTTGTTACCAGCAATGTTGCTATAATTACTGAAATTGCTGGAATTAAACTTATATCACTGAGATTGACTTCACAGCAACTGAAATCAACGAGACTGAAACTGCGCTTATCAAGATCTAGTGCACTGATACTGGACTCAGATTATTGAGACTGAACTAACTGAAGTTGATCTGAGCTTCCCCTGCAAATCGCATTCAGATCTGAATATAACTTGGACTGAACTTGCTCTGAAATTGAGACTAAATTTACTGAAAACGAATTGGGTTCACTGAATCTGATGTGAACTTTATTGAAGGTGAACTGAGAACTGAACTGAAACTTCCTTTGGAAACTGCACTTAGATCTGAACTCAGAGTTGAACTGAGCATGCACTGCAAATCACACTTAGATATGAATGGAACTAACTTGCACTTGTTGAAACTCGTCTGAATTCTCTGAGTCTGTAGTGAACTCACCGAAACTGATCTGAGTTCATTGACTGTGATTAAACTTGCAGAAACTGAACTGAACTTGTAGAAACTGAGACTGGACTTACTGAACTGAAACCATTGAGACTGGACTTACTGAAATTGATATGAATCTGTTGAGACTGCATTAACTTACTAGACCAAACACAAGTCTAGATCTGACTGGTGCTTGGAACATGAATTCAATCTGAGTTCAAAGTCTAAACTCGATCAGAGTGAGAGTCTGTCTTAGAGTATACGCTTAACTCTAATCAGAAAACGAACCTAAGCCTGACTACAACATACATCTGAGTCTGATCCGAAAAGAATGTGTGACCTTGAACAAAACATGTGTAATGACCCGCCAAAACACAGACTGAGAACACTGCTGATTTCTGGGATTTGCCACTGGAATGAATGCCCTGCTGAGATTCCCGCATTCTGCTGTGGTTTCCGAGTCTGTGTGTGTGTGCGTGCCTGCTGGTTTGCGTGCCTGTCTGAGTGCTTGTCGGCTGAGTGTGTGCGTGACCCGCAAGGGTACTTGTTGGTTGAAAGGCCCCGCAGGGCTGGTACTTACCTGTGGCCGTGACTTTGAGGGTTGCAGCGGGGAAAAACACTCAAGTAGCGGGGGTAGGCCCGCGACACTTAGAACATCGGGGAAAAACACTCAAGAAGCAGGTGGGCCGGTACCACTCAAGTAGTGGTAGAAGCGTCGGGTACTGGAGGCCGAGCAGAAGAAGACAAAAAGTTGGCATTTTTAGAGGCCCAGTAGCGGTAGGATAGGGGTAAGGCCGGTACCAGTCCAAGTAGCCTGAGTCTAGGGCCTGTCCGGACGATAGCAGAGCCTGCAATGATGTTTCCCTCCGAAAGGGAGGAGGTACTGGTTGCCGGGAGGCCGCTCGGCCTAGGAAGTTACCGCCCAAGAGGCCAGTAGGCCGCTATATCTTCCAGAGGAGCAAGCAACTCCTCATTTGCGGTATGCAAGGATTGGCGACATGCTGCTGAGCCAAGCGCTGGACTTGTACAGCGCTGCCTGGAGGTGAAGGGCAGCTGGGCGCTCAGCCTGGCTATGGCGACCAGCCCAGCCTGAGGAGGAGGAAGAAGGGGGC